ACTCTCTAGCTAGTACATGAAAGGGCACTCCAGAGGGTTCCCTGAGCATACGTCCCATGTCTGCTTCTTACTTTGCAGATGGTTATCTAAAGATAGTATCAATTTGGTAGATAGGCAGTATTCACCCACGAAAAAAATTGAAAAAGCAATCTGTCCACCCACTGACAATCGCTCATGACTCAAGATGTTTTTTGTACGTCCCTCCATGTCTTAAAAAGTTTCAAAACACGAAGTTAGTGCCCTTCAGTTGGAATTTCTTCTCTCAAGAGAGCATCGAAGTTTAAGACGGTGATCAATCTATCACGGTTACTACCCATTACTTTACAGCGTATGTAGCTGAACAACAATCATAAAGGAACAGATATAAAGAGATAGACGGGAATAGTGCAGATTTCTACGGATTTTACTAGAATGCTAGAAAAAAACCTTTGCATTCCCTCCGGAGCTACAGTTCACGATAATTTTGAGGTACAGTTTCCAAGAAGAAAAGCCGAAGTATAGGTTGGAAATAGTGCATCTCTGGTGGAGAAAGGAGAAAATTTGCCGACTTTGCGAAAAATAAGCTTCTCAAAAGTAGTGAAAATAGAGGTTGTACGAGATTACCATGTCGGAACTGGCATGGAATGGGTATTTGGACGAGATTTCAGTTGTTGCAATTGCGCAAAGAGCTTACTACACCAAGCCAGAACTGCCCGGAATTGGGTTCCATTGTCGCTATGGATCATGACAAGTTGTATGAACTTCCTACTAGGGTTCCATTATGAATGGTGCAGCCTCTTCAATACCGCGCATATACACTAGACAAATTTGAGCTTTATAACGCCCTATCTAGGACATTTTCCAATCTGCCAGTACCATATATGGTTTAGGAGAGAGCCACAAATTTATCCGGTGGGTTATCTCATAAGCCGTTTTTATGATGAACTGTGCCTTTACAGTATTTATAACACGATGAAGGCAACGAAGGTGAAGAAGAATATTCTACCGAATGAAAGGATTCACAGGAAATAACAACCTTACAAGAACCACCAGATATTTATGTAGTAATTATGCATGGAGATAGGCATGTACGACTGCTTGAATTATATATGGCTTCATAACATCCATTACAGAAAGCTAAGCTCCAGAAGATTTAAAAACAAATATAAGGTAAACAGTGCTAGAAGTTTCAGTCTATCTAACTACCGTCTTGGCAGTTTCGCTTGGTCATCGAGAACTTTCTCTTCCCATCGGAATGGCAGAAGGAGAATGCTGGTAGGGAGCATAGAGTGCAGAGCTGACAGCTGCTGGCCACTTCCGTGTTCTCGCCCTCATCGCCCATTCAGTGACATCGTCGTCGCCCTCGTCAATTAACTCGTTGACAAGCGTTTCACCCAAATTGAATAGCCTTCACAGCGACGAGAGAAATGGTTCCTAAGCAACTCTCTGAGGATACTTGCTAATGGGAAAGGCGGGGGATGGGGAAAAAAGGAGGTATGAAAAATACATGAAGTACTCATTGTGGAGCAATTGTTTGGGGAGCGTCTAATATTCCACTTCCGGGAAAAAA